CCCAGAGAAGAAGGGTGGCTAGGAATGACTATAAAATGTGCTCACGGAAAACACGCAGACGGGCGGTCGCAACGCGGCCCGGCGATGCGTTCGAATTTCTACTCAGGAGTCGATAGCCCTCAGGACGAGCAGCGGTACTGTACAGCGTTCCTTCAGGTGAGATTCCTTCATCTAGTCTCTGTATGGATCTTCGACCACACTTCTGTCTTCCGTCGATGAGTAGGGCCGTGCAAGCCGTAGCCTCTCTGGGAGAAGTTCCATGCAGTCCAACACAGTAGGGACTTTTGTCGCACCTTCTTTCTATCTCAGTTGCAAACGTTTATGGTTAAAAATACTCATTGCTGTGACTTAAGGACTGCTACTAGGCATTTATGCGTGTAAATGACTTAAGAGGTTGTTTGTCATGTATAACAGTGTTGTTCAATGCGTAAGGTCTGTGCTGGGTCGGTAGAGAGTCCGTCGTTAAAGCAGTCAAACGAAGGCCTTGTGAAGATATTTGTTACAAGCATTGAAACTATAGTTCAACAATATGGATACCTACTTGTATAGTTCGATGGCCCATCCTCACTAGTTGTGCGGGTCTTATCATATTCTCCATTTTTCGGAGTTTTGCTGGTTTAGACACCGTCTTTTCCTGAAGTCCCGAGATCAGCCTGGCCAAAGTCTGCCCCAGGTCGTCTCCACCAGAGGCAGTCGCCGCCTCTGTGGATCAGTGGGAGAATTGCCACCATGCAACTTGTTTGGTACCAGGACGGTGACGGATCCTGGTATTGGTTTACTCTTAGCTGAGCTTCCTGATGAGAACGCTGCTGTGCATCGCAGCCTGACACGCAGGAACACCTAGCCACGATGAGGCCGTAAACCGTTGGGAAGTTCAAAAATATGACTAATAATTGTATGGAATGCCATGAATCTAGTTGCTCTTGTTGAAGAAATCATTGATTTTAAGCGAAACATTTGAAGGTTCTTACCTGGTCTGGGAAGCGTGTACACTCTGTGCGAATAAGATTTTCACTCTTTAATCAAACCTTTGGTAGTTGATAAGGTCATCGTGCTGATTTTCAATGTCGTTTAGTGATTTAATAGTGGCGCAGAGCTTCGAGATCGGAACCCAGCAAGCAGGACATCCAAATTTTTGCTTTCAGGTATGAATTAGAAATTTCCTTCAACATGTATTTATCCTTAACATACAGAAGCGTCGTTTTTAGACTGTTCTACAACGTAAATGGCATGGATGACCAAGCAGCGTCAACTGTTTCTGATGGATGTAGGTTCAGTTTCCCAAAACTGCTTGGTTCATTAATTCAATATATTTAATATACGTATAATAAAAAATTCATTAAAACCGCATCCTATTTTTGAAGTGACAGATACAACTTCTCTTTCATATTTGGATCATCCAATTTGAAACGTTTCTTTGAGGTCATTCGACAATCCGAAGTCCATCTGACGAGATTCGAGAATTGAACAAGCCTGATGTAGGGGATGGTACATCTTCACAAGATTTGGGTGCTGGGACACCTGTTCGGATATTGTCCACCGTAACCCCTCGAGATTCACGTCAACCACATCGTTTTCCTGCAGGAGTGCGTATTGTTAGATGCTCATCCGGTGGAACGGCAGGGTCTGTCGTACGGACACAATCACATCAGATAAGTACAGCTCTAGGAACCGGCGCATCTCACCCAGGGCGCATGGTCAGCAAGGCGTCCACGTCGCCTGGTGATGCCGGAAGTTTGCGTACCGTACCGATTAAAACAGTCGTTGGTGCTGGGCAGGGAATGCGTGTTGTACAGCAAGGAGGACGTACTCTTATAGCGGTGCCAGGTGGCTCCCGTTTGGCAGCTACGCTTACGTCTGTGGCTGCTCGAGCAGCTCCCGTCGAACTCTCAACTTCTGGTTCTGCGGGTCCTGCACTCTCTGTTGTGGATGTTAATCTACCAAAACCTGGTGTTAAACACCAAGAGCACATCTCAAATGAATCCATTAGCACAAATTTGTCTGCCGACTCTGTTGGTGAACAATGTGCGCATAATTCTTCTGGTTCCATCGAAGTTGCAGAGTGCATTTCGTCTTTTGATGGATCTAATGCATCATCATCACCTCAACCTGATAATTCTATGGGTATTTCTGACGGATCGACAGGACAAAGACAGAAACATGCCAATGTCCGCTTACCGGGAGCAGGGACAGGAATGGTCACAAGAAGGATGGCACGCAATAATAATTCACTATCTAATGTTGTTGATCATCCACCTGTAATAACAATGGATTACGAAGGAAACAGAAATGCTGGTGTTTCAATGCCTCCAACACGACGCAGAGCTGCAAAAAGACCAAGTTCGTCACTTTTTTGTACTACTTTTCTACTTTTTAAATGAGCGTAATAGTTATTCCAGAATATTCTCTTTCTACGGGAGAACTAGTTCGTGCGCAATATATTTTACCGCCGGACCAATTACCACGGCGATCGTCTATTCCTCGTGAACAGAATCCACTTTCTATTACTGAGCAAGCTCGTCTATCTCGTAGGCCGATCGTTGTACATTCTGTAATTTTTATGTTTTTCTTTTTTAAATTACACTTTCTTATTGACAAGGGCACATGTTACCGCTTCATAATGGTTAATAAAAAAAAAAAGCGTAAAGCTCTCGGCGTTAATCAATCCATGAGGGATTCACCATTCATTCGATTTCATTAAGTATCGTTGGAGATGACTCGATGCATATTTGGCCTATATAATGACTCGCAGTAAACTACCGATGTATCGGGCCAGTGCTACTATCCTCCCAGACAAGTTCAGTACCAACTTGCCGACCCCGGAGCGATGAAAGGCTTAATGAGCCTAGGGCGCGGGGATTGATCCCATGTGCATTTCACGTACCTCCGACCACTGTGCTACACACGCCCTTTCATTGCGGTTGTACGAGAAAATAACTCGAAGAAAATCCTCTTGAGCTGTAGCCAATGTCTGATAATAGTCTCTAATTGCGCTAGATAAGGCTTAGAAAAGATCTCTGGGCTAATAATACAGTAGCTGAATGGAAGAATCTGAATAATACGATAATTGGTCGTTTTGGTCAATTAAGCGGAAGCGTGGAGGGTAACGGGAATGATCGTAGTACTTCTGCAGGAGATTTCTAGAAGTTTGTGTTTGTAGCTGGAATAGGTTAATTAAAATCGAAGTCATCACGACGTTCCGTTTTCACAATTGTGTGCTTCGTATACGTCCAGCATATCCCCTGCATTGCCTGTGGTTTCCTTAGCACATAATCATTAGATGCATAATTTTAGATCTGTTACGGATTTGCTAAAACTGGCCTGCGATTCAAACATGGCTATTAGCACTTCGCGAACGATGCCCGTTTTCCATAACAGGCGACAGTTTTCCGATAACTAGAGGACTTTTGGTGTTGGGAACTTAGAAGACCAGTAGAAGCAGAACTACTGTATTACTCTACAGGTATATATCATTGCGCAGTAAACTGTCGAACGTACAACTGCCTGCTTTTGGAATTCTTCTTTAGAATTTAGATTGCGTATGCTTCGGTATTTTTCTATCTGCGCATTTTACGTAGCGGTCCTGATTCATCACAACGATTGGAAGTGTTGTAACGGCTGATCGGTCACCTAGTGTTCTTTACTTTCGACTTTCAGTTTGTGAAGCACAGTAGGCTTGAGTGACAAACTTGTCTGAGAAACAGTTTTCGTCGTTTTCTTTTTCAGCAGTCGCGAAGTTGTTAAACAGCATACATTTACTTCCATACAATAACACACAACACAATCGTAGCTGACGTTTCAGCGGAATCGCCTTCTTCATAGTCTGGAAATGTACACTAATACGAAGCTTACTAGGTCAAACGCTTCAATAGCACAAAACAGAAGGGTGAAAACACAATAATTGCAAGATCTACGGCTTCTCGAAAAAACAGTTTTTGTTAATTATTAAGTGTAGGATGTAGCCTTGATCGCACTGTGCCAGGTGCAGCATCTATGTTGAATTAGCTGTCGACTTGACAGAAAGTGTGGCAGAAAAGTATGTTCAAAATATTTACCTGGATACTTGAGTGGCTCGTCTTCACTAGTTCTACGGGCCTCGGGATAATCGCTATTCTTCGGAGATTTGCTGGTTCAGCCGTTGTGGTTACCTGGAGTGCCGAGGACAACCCGGCCAAAGTCTGGCCCAGGTCATCACTAACACAGGCAGTCGCCGCCCTTGTGGATCAAAAGGAAATTTGCCACCATGGGACTAGTTTTATACCAGGACGGTGACATATCTTAGTATTGGTTTACTCTTACCTGGATTTCCTAATGGAAACGCCAGACTCATTCTTAGCTTGGGAGACCTTGCCAGCGGGATGAATCCCCGAGTTGTACGTCGCAGTCCGGCACATAGGAACATCTCCCAGCCACGAGGAGATGGTAAAACGTTGGGAGGTGTCACAAAATAAACAGTGGAAAATGTCTTGTCTTTCCAAAGCTGACTTGTAAAATCGAAGAATACCACACTTGTCAGATACATGGAACTCTGGGATCTTGGGCGCAAGTTTTGTGTGCGATTCCGAGCTGCTTTACATGTTCTTAGGGCTTTTATTCTACGCTTTTGATAAAGTCGACGAAACTGAATGATAATGTGTATGCATGCAAATACATGCAGACAAGTTCACACGAATGTGGCTAAGGACTACTCATTCTATGAACGCACCTCCATCTCAGAGCAAGTGCCTGGTTTCTAAGACACGTCACCTGACAAACCGTATCAGAGCTTCGCGAGTTTGTACCTTGAAGTCCATTAAGAACAGATTCATGGCAACATGTAACTCGAGCGGTTTGGTATAATGACTATTAAAAATTCTAATGAATAAAAATCCGAAGCTTTTTCTTCTTTTGGGCGAGGTAGGAATTCTTTAAGGCGAAGGTCATTATTGAAGTGGTCTTTTAAATGAGTCGCATTTTTAGTCCAGCGAATTTCTTCGTCTGTCTTGTGAAGGCGGAGGTGTATGTGGCGAATTGGTCGGTGGCGCCCTGCAACACGTATGGGGTTCGATCCCCAGGTTCACCAACCCCTCCATTCCTCCGGGGGCGGCAAACTGCTACCACACTTGTTTGAGATGACAGCAGCACTGGCTCGATACGTCGGTAGGCTGCCGCGTGTCATTATAAAGGCCAGATATGCATCCAATCACCTGACGATGCTTAGTGAAGTCAAACGGATGGTGCATCCCTCAGAAATCGATCGACGCCGAGAGCTTTTTGGCTTTATCCTACGAAGGTTTCTATTTTTTGTGTTGAGATTTCAGTCTGGAGTTGAATTTGCTATTCCATTGTCACTTGAGGCTCATCCAATGAAATTAGATGACACGGCACCTGAAAATCCAAGGGAAGACATACTACGAGGTTGTTCTTTGATATCTGTTGTTTTAATATCTCTTGTCAACTATTTAGAGCTGTTGTTTGCTAGCTTTTCCTCCTAGTTTTACGTTGCATTTACGATGATGCATTCTCGGTTTATCAGATGATGACGGCGTCCCCTACTGTTATCTGTGCAACTCTGTCTTGAAAACATGGCAAGGTTACGAATACCACATAATGGCCGTCCATTTAAAGTAAGCATTTTAAGTTTTTCGATTTTGAGCAACTGAATATACTTCTTTCACCGTTTTACGACGTATGTTCAATTTATAAGTAGAAGATAAGTTCTGTTTTGCTACCAACATCTTAACAAACGTTACAGTTAAGTAAACGTCACGTTGAACAAGTACGGGGAAATGGTAGTTGTTCGATACAGCGTGACTTCGTTGGAGCTTAAAAGCAAGATTTATAGCGCGAAACTAAGAGCCCTGAATCTGCGCGAATCAAAGGGCTCGTTTACTCTATATGTTTTCTGTTCATTTTATACCAGTAATCCTTATTTGAACATTTTTCAAGGTATCGGCCGTATCGATGTATGTACTGCATGAAGGAATACTTCTACACTGAAGAGGAAGGGCTCAGTCATGTTCGCTCTCAGCATCACGGAAAGACCGTAACAGTAGGTCTTAAACGAACTCTACTTTTATCCAAATTAATCGTACTAGAGTGGCATAAATATGTATCCACATATATATATGTATGCATATGCATATATGCATGTATGTATATACGTATATGTTTATGTATATATATGGTGTCACGAATGTAGAAATCTGCTTCGCTTAATTTTTTTTCTTTTTGAGTCCAGCTCTGTTTTAAGCTTTTACGCGAGTATCATGATGAGAAGGAAAAACAACTCGACGATGCGTTCTGTGCTCTTTTTCTGGCGGTGCGAGAGGGAGTTAGTTTTTTATTATTATGTTACAATTATATACATATACATATATATATATATATATATGTATACATAATACTATACCAATAAGTGGGACGGGATAGCGTTGATCAGGAAGAATGACTAGTTCGATATTCGCCTCAACGCTCTCCTCCACCCTACGTTGGAACACCTTAGCATTCCACGGCATTCACAAAGAAGTCGAAATCCGCAAGCAGTAGTCGAGACAGCACGCGACATCATCGAAGATAATTGTGGAAGATGAATGTGAAGAAAACGAATAGAATGCAAGAAGTGGTGGAATCCGCACAGTAGATGTGTTGATGGGTGGTGTAACTAAAAACAATTACGCTATAATTACATGACCCATGTCATATCTACAGTGAGGATGTCAGAACTTCTTAGATTCGATTCGTTTCCCTTACGTTTGTCGTCTATAGAGCTGATCATTTTGCCTCCAATTTTGGCTGCTGCTTGAGGTTTTCGTCTTTTTATGAATATCGCAGAATGCTGGTGAAATCGATTCTCCTTGCAATCTTGAAAATGGCTGAGCTAGGGCGTTCCCATCCGAGTTGTGTGAGAGCGTTGGGAAGAGGCATGGAGCCGTAACCTTGCTTCTTAATGGACTGCATCACACCAACCACCACTCTATCACTCTTACCAATTAGTATACCACACTTCAAAAACATTTCGTTTTCGAAGTTTTCAAATATTGAGTTGTTTAACTTGTGCTTGTTGATCCATTCCCACCGTTTAGCCGAATTTTACCGAGGAGCGTGCAGCAGCGATCGAAAAAGCAGCGTTTATGCATTTACAAAAATTTAAACGGATGAGAATGAAGATTCCCGAGTTCGCCACTCGAGCGAAGTATATTTCTTTTATTGTTTCTAACACTCTCAAAATTGGTTCTAGTAAAAATTTTTAAGACTAATGCGTGATTTTGCATCGCAAACGTTTGCTACAATGTCTTCACCACAGTCTATGATGACACCAATGAAGTGTATGGGACGCCCTTCATTAGAGCATTTGCAACATCATCTTGAACCTCTACAACATCCACAATTGTCCATGCCCATAAAAGTGATGGAAATGGAGCATTCTGAAGACCAGCAACGATACGTACGTTGTATTTTTGCTTTTGTCAAAACCAGTAATGAATTATTAAGTAGTTTCAGGTCCGGATGAGTAATGGAGAATTGGCGGAGATCGATGAGCGCTTCGTTATTGAAGGAGTGGGTTCTGATACAATCATGAACTAGGTTTTTCATGTAGTTCGATCTCAATCGAAGTGTTGAAGCGGCACTGTCTTAAATTTATTGAATAGAATAGAAAGCGTAGTGAGGTTTCTGCTGTATCATTTCCATAAAGAAGAACTGAGGTTGCCTTAATAAGACGCAGTTTGCTTGGAATTCCACACCACTAGAACCGTCTCTGCCCCTGTCCTACTACTGATGTGTAAAACTTTCACCTGTATCACCTACAGCCCCATTGATCGTTGAGTAATTCGAGCGGGGCCAATAAATCCTCCATTTTTCCCTGTCGCGTGCAAGAGTACCCCAGTGGGTCTTGGTCGCTCTAGGGACTTGTTGAGCATCATATCTTTCGTCTGAGCTTTTCGTGAAGAACTCTGACCATCGGGTCGGTGGTCTTTCTGCAGTGCATTTAACATCTCGGGGGAATCCAGCCACTAACGGGTCTTGTTCATCGGTTGTCGTTCATATACGCATTACATATCCGGCCCACCTAATCTTCGACTGTTTGGCGTACAGAACGGGATCTTTGCTTTTTGATCGTTGAAGCAGGTGAGGGCTTCGGATCCCTTTCCTTACTTGTGTGAAACGGGACACTCCTAGCATCGGCCTTTCGACTGCGCGTTCCATAACGCTGAGTGACCTTTCATCCTGCTTACGCAGTGACCAGGTTTTTGACGCATACGTTAGGGCAGAAAGTACCTTGGAGTCGAAAAGGTGGGCACAGAGTCGGGTGTTCTTTGTCCTCCTCACTCTATCCTCGATGCTCTTGAAAGCTCCCCAAGCCGCTCGTTTCCTTCTGCTCAGCTCTGGAGCTAAGTCGTTCATCATACGCATTACGTATCCCACCCATCTTATCCTCAACAGTTTGGCACGTCCAATAACGCTGAGTGATCTCTCATCCTGCTTACGCAGTGACCAGGTTTTTGACGCATACGTTAGAGCAGAAAGTACCTTGGAGTCGAAAAGGTGGGCACAGAGTCGGGTGTTCTTTGTTCTTTTCACCACATCCTCGATGCTCTTGAAAGCTCCCCAAGCCGTTCGTTTTCTTCTGCTCAGCTCTGGAGCTAAGTCGTTCATCATATTAATTTCCCGACCTAAATAGACATAACTGGAGCATTCGGAGGTATTTGTTCCGTTGAGAGTGAATGGGGCATACGAAACCAATCCGTTCTTTATGAACATCAGAGATTTAGCCGAGGACCAATCTTTCCACAGGTTTTTTCAAAGTCGTCAAGCATACGTTCCACTGGACTAATGTTTGGAGTTGTAAAGACGATGTCATCAGCAAAGCGAAGATGATGTAACTCCCGACCGTCGATTTCACTCCCATATTATCCCATTCCAATGTTCGCGCGACGTTTTGGAGGGTGGTGGTAAATAATTTTGGCGAGATGGTATCGTCTTGCCTAACTCCTCTTTTGACGTCAATGTTAATATCGTTGTAGAATGGTGATATCTTGGTTGTGAAATTTTTCTACGACTCACGAAGAATATATACTGAGTAGGGATTCCTTGACTATCAAGGGCTTCCAAGACTGCTTCTATCTCAACTGAATCAAAGGCCTGTAAATCGATGAAAGTGAGACAGAGCGGTCTTTTGTACTCTTGCGATACCTCAATTAGCCTTGTTATCACGTGGATGTGGTCCATAGTACTAAATCCTTTTCGAAACCCTGCTCGCTCACATGGCTGTCCTTCGTTCAGTGTTCTGTGAATCCTGTTTAAGATGACTTGAGTGAAAAGTTTGTAGAAGACAGATAGCAAGCAGGTTAGGCGATTGTTGCCGATATCGTGTAGATCACCCTTGTTGGACAATGACACGATCTTGTGGCCTTCCACTGAGTAGGGACCTTACATTTAGACGGGTAACGTGTGAAGGGCCGAGCCAGTGTGTTTACGAGGACTGGTGGAAGGTTCTTCAGATGTTCTGGTCTTATCCTGTTCGGAGCTAGTGCTGTTCGGTTTTTCACCGACGAAATGGCATATCGGATTTCGGAAGAGGGAACCGGTGGTACAACATATCCATCCTCCTTTATTTGATATGACGGAAGGTGGATGTAGCTATCGAAGAGATTTGAGTAGTATTCGTGAATGATTTTCTCCATTGCCTTTGTGGACGCTGTAACCATTCCGTCCGGGCGTCGGAGTGCGAACATCTTGGTCTTGTAATTGGCGAAGCTTCGGTGGGCTTTGCGAATACTTTTCCCAGCCTCTGCAACTTCGACCATTGCTGTTGGTCTTCTCACTTTAAGATCTTTTTTCGCCTGTCTGCATTGTTTTGCAAATTCGGACGTTAGTTCGCGGTTACCAGAGGCTTGTGCGATTCCACGCTGACGTATCTGCTCGAGTGTTTCTGTAGACAGACGTCTCTTGGTGACTTTCGAACTCTCAGCTTTCATAGCACTAACGTGAAGATGTTGAATGAGACCATCGTATTCTTCGTCGATGTTATCGACAACGGCATCTTCCCAACAGCCGACTAGTGAATTGAATGAGTCCCAGTTTACGGTGGTTCTGGGACTTCGGTTTTTGAATTTATCAGCTTTTTCTCCTTTTCGCGAGAAATAGAGTCTAGTACGAAGGAGACGGTGGTCTGATCTCGTGTAGAATTTTGGGACAACAGCAACATCGGTTAGGCAAAACCTATTTAATATGATGTGGTTTATTTCGCTATGGTACTCTCCACTGGGAGGCTCCCACGTCCAACGCTGAGGGTGAGGCTTCTGGAATTGCATGTAACCTTGGATTGTCTTGCTCGCCATAATAAACTCAGACAGCCGCTCACCCTGTTCGTTCCATTCTAATCCGTGGGTCCCAATGCAACATTCTTCTTGGTCCAATCGTGGCGTTGAAATCTCCAATGACGACCTTGAAGAATGTGTGGTCTTCTCTGTAGAACTTCGCCAAGTCCATATAGAACGCTTCGACTTCTTCTTCGTCATAGTTTGATGTCGGGGCGTAAACGGCGAAGATTGTCAAAGGCGGTTTTGATCCAAATCTTTTTAGTCGTAAACGTCCGATTCGGGTTGTAAGTTGTTCGAATGAATCGATGTTCATGGACAAACTCGTGTTAACGAGAACGCCAACTCCTGTACTGTCGCATGTTCCGAGGAACAGTTCTTCTCCGGTGTCATAGACGGCGTTGAAAGGTTTACCCAACGCTGCGAAATTGGGGGCTCTTTCGGGGTCAGCGGAACGAGACCCGTTTTTTACTGTGTTTAGCATTTTGATACCCACGTACAGCTTGCTGGACTTTGAACGTGGGAGTTGTGTATACTCATGGGTAGCTTGCCATTTTCTTTTCTAGAGTAGACGTCTAGCTTATTTGTTGGTGTGGTTCCTAACCACCTCCCATACTTGAGTTCCCTGGCACTTGATTGCCTTGCTTTTGGCCGAATTGACTCATAGAATAGTATATGCGAAATCGGTGCAGCAGAAACAGGGAGTCTATCGCCTGCACCCACTCGCAGCTCAGGAAGGCCAAGGTCGCTTTTGCTCCGCGATTAACTCCTATCCACCACCTGGGGACGGGCCACGTAACCTCGCGACTAACCGGCTCGAAAGCTCTGATATGAGGTAGATCCGTGGGTGTGAAACTTTACTTTCTATAATGCTGAAATAGTTGCCTAACTTGGACCTTAGGCCAGATTAAAATCCTTTCCGGGGCTCACACCCGTAGATTGCTGAGGACATCGTTAGGTAAGAAACTAGCTGTGAAAAGGTAAAGAAAAGGCCTCAGTGGTTCGCTGGGTAAAATGCGAGCCCTAGGCAGGATAGTCACGGGTTCGAATCTGGCTTAGGTTCATGTTTTGCAAATATCTCAGCATTATAGTAGTT